AATAATCCCAGTCTGACTCGCACGAATCCAACACATATGTCTATCAAACCGTTTGGACTTGAAATATAATTTTGGCTACTCATATATCAACTCGCGAAAAACATAACCCTCCTTCTCAGGCAGTTCAGTAAAAAGTTCAGCTATGAGCTATGGCTGAATCTGATTGTAGTAAAACTATGATACCGCCACATTTTGCGCGACACTTGGCCAAATTTGAGTCTATTTGACCAGTGCAAGATCAAATGCTTACATGGCATCGTTGCAGCTGGTTTATTCAATATTCAGGGTCAGCAAAACGGGTGCAGTGTGGCCTAGTTGTCAAGCTTCGCTCTTCACCACCACTCCTACTACCATCACCACTGCAACGGCGAGGATGAAGACAAAACCATTCTTGAAATGTCATTAAAATCAGTTCATGAGTTTCTGATATTACACGGTAAGAAATGTCGGACCGACCGAACAGATAAGGCAAAGAAATTGCGTAATCTGGATTTTTGTGATATAAAGACCATAGAACTTTAAAAAATGTATTATATCTCAGTATATCTCAGAATTCATATTTTCTTCACTTCAGCGTGGAAAGTATAGCAAAGCAAGTTACTAAAAGGTCATTAAAAAGGTATTGCATATGTCAGACTCTGTTGAAAGCTATAAGCTTGAGGAAACCCACGCGTCTATTCTTTTGAGAAGCTGAAAAGTTCCTTCTTACACCGGGAATCCTTGAAACTTACGAAATATAAAAGTTAGCGTCCCAAGAGCTGGGCAGCACATAAAGGGAGATACGAGACTGGATTGGTTTTGTCAAATTTGTACTATAGTTGTTTCTCACATATGTTTGAGAAGAAAAAACTTTTCTGTCGTCCCTGCAACTTCAAGATAGTACGGCGCAAATTATACAAGTGCGTGGAATTGGCTAAATTTGCAGTATATTGAACATTATGACCTCCCGCTTGAAAGTCTTTGTGGGCACAAAGTTTTGAGGCTATCTAATGTCAAATTCCGAGGAGTATATAATATATCTGCCTTAAAAGCCCATTACCTGTATTACGTAACATAAAGGGTGGCATTGTATCTATTTTTTATGGCATTATGTAGGTTTTTCACACTATGTAGGATTTCCTATAAAATGTCACCTTTGAACTAACTTACATTATTTGGGGTCACTTGTAGTAGGCGCGGTATGAACTAGCGGCACACTAGCGGCTACCTAGTGAACAAGTTGATTGTTTTAAGATTATGAAAGTTTTTTGCGCAGTAAGTATGCCGGTATGTTTTAGCAAAATGACGTTGCTTGTATCTATCCCAGAACAAGGCGGTGTTTGAGCGAAAGCGGTAAATTGTCAGCGGTAGCATTAGACGGCTGCACCGGCAAAAACCGACAACAAGTCAACTTGCTGACTAGATAGTTCCTAGCGTGCAAATAGTACATTCCGCGTTTGCTCGCTAGGAGTCATCCATGGACGAATGACTCAACGACACGACACGCTTAATAACCATGCTGCAAATGAGTTGTCAGTTCTCACCATGCTTTGTTGGTTACAGAATGCTGAGGTAGTCTGTAGAGCATGTCACTGAAAATATATGGGTTATTTGTATTGTCCTTTTGAACATATTTTCAAAGTGATGAATTACTATTCTCCCGTTTTCTTCTTACGTTTTCACAAAATTTGAGAAGCATTACGGGAAATCATCACCACCGCGCCCGCGTTGTGTGTAATTAAGCTAAATCACATAAAAAAATAGGAATGACCCATCACACAAAATAATTTCGCAGTGCCGCAGTGAAATTGAAGAAATTTGCACGTGTAAATTCCGGGATACATCTCAAGTAAGTGTGTTTGAGACACGAATCTAGAATTTTCATCAACACGGACTATTAACACACAAATCCTCACTAAACACCTATATATACCTTCAATAATGCCATCCCTGAATCAGATGTTACATCTCATCAGAGACAAACATTGATAGCTGAAGCGTCACGATGTTTAGGCAACACAGCTGCAGAACGAGTGCACATCAAGTGAACAACAACCAGCTCTAAGTTGACATCTGGAAGAAAACCCTACATATACTAAAAAAACCTATATAATGTAAAAAAAAGACATGTAACAATTTTTTTTATACTACATCCCAGATAACAAGTATATTCTGGCTTTGCAAGTTTTTCTCCAAATCCAATAAATTTTCTACTAATACGACTGACGATAAAAAGACCCTGACCTAACCTGACAACTCGATACATGCTCGTGGATGCGCCCTACTATGTGCTGAATAGCTGAACCAGTCAAAATGCTGAAACAGTTGGACTGAATGTAACTTCATTGCTTTTCAAAAGCAGCTGATGCAGCGGAGTCATCTAATGCCCGAAATGTCAAAATACGGACAGCCGCTCATTGCGCTTCTTGGTGATAGATACAAGCATTGTCTTGACTGGCCAACCGTATGATATCCAACAACAATAGAAATCGTAACTTTGACAGGTACAGGCAATGAAGCATATTATTATCTCTGTTAGAACACGTTAGAACTTATGCAGAGGCTTCTAATTGGACTATACCTTCACTGTATACATGCAAGATTTTTGCGTCGCCTATGTAGAAGGAAGCGGGTTAGCATTTGTATATTTAATAAATGAACACGTGTTGTATGGTGTAAATATGTGTTCCAATGATCGAATACCTTTAAATTGAAACTCATATACCTTTAGCTACATATAACAACAGTAAGTATATTCCTGATGTTTGTTCATATTTTGAAAACAGTTTTTTTAGCTAACTTTGTGTCCATGGAGACTTTCAGTCAGGACAAAGTAATGTACAACATACTGCAAACACAGCGAATTCCACTGTATCTCCTTTCCCATGTTTTGTACGTTCTGTGCAAACTGAATCAGTGCCATGTTTACATCCATGAGTAGCTAATCTCAGGACTATTCTGTTTGGTGCGTTAGCACCACTCTGTGCTAAGGAAGACGCAACATTAGCTCGTTTACACCGTGCGCTGTCTGCTATGCAAAGAGTTAGAATAGCTCTAGTGATCATGGTACGGTGTATTCATTGGTCATTAGTGTCGCGTACTAGTTGTACCAGTGTTGTGTGAAGTCACGGTCTTGTGGTTTGCTAGCCACGGTGTAAAAGTTCCCAGTTATTGAGCGTATGCAGATGACGTAAAGCAATAATTCATCATGATTTTTGTTTTACAGCGGTATCCGTGGCATAGCATGGACAGTTTGACCGCAAATTTCCCTTGACTATTGGAGCTTGTTGAACGTGTATTGAACATCCAATGACCTTTTTTATCGCCGCGTCGCATCGCATGGTGGACCTTCATCATGAACTATATTCTGATATAGCCCCGAGTATGGCTTCAGTGGAAGTGCTGGCAATACCTTTAGGGACCGCACTTTCCCACAGAAGCCGGACAGCTAAAAATAAAAATTATGTGGGGCAAAGTATTTTATTATGTACCCTAAAAGAATTCTACAACCAAGATATACTAATTAATAAAACACAATGATGAATACTATCTAACGGTTGGTCCAAGCAAAACAGTTGTCTCGTAGCGTGCAAATTTAGGCCCTAGCTCAACAAAGCGGAGAGTAGGGGGGCGGTTAAGAGCGCCAGTGACTTAGGACGGATTAAGCCACAACTCCCCGAGATGTTATTCGGAACTTGTTTTGCATGACCACCACACAAAAGGAGAATCTAACAGATGACGAAATTTAAGTAACAGTACACACAGAGAGAGCCAAATAAAACAAGATATTAAATGAATTACAATATATTGATTAATAAAAAACGCACATGTGCTCCACTAGTGGAGTGCGAGTAATAAAAAAAAGAAAGGTAGTAAAAAAACCCTAAGAGAGAGAAAGACTGTTTAAAAATCTACTCTATTCTCTGTCTGAGATAAAACTATTCATTGAAAACAAACGCACTTGAAGCAAAACCATGTACATTTTCTTGTACAAGAAAAGTAAAGCAAAGACAAAAAAGATAAAAATGTAATAAACTAATATACCCTTGTTCTAAAATGTTATGGCAGCTCAAAAATTAAAATCATGGTCAATGTAATAGAAGCTGCCATGTAGGCTCTGCCCCCATATTTGAATACGTAGAATGTCCAATAAAATCAAGTAATCTCTAAGAATTTCAATAAGCAATAATAAATGTATAAAGATCTATGAAATTGTTAATTAGAATGATATCTTACCTGTTCACATCAGGGTTTTTTCTCAAGGGGATGGCTTCCACCAATCTGCAAAACTGCAACAAGATGCAACCAACTGGAGGAGAAAGGACGATGATTCTCTTCTGTTTCTATTGAAAGCAGATATTGAACGAATGTCATCAGGACACGCATTAAGGCACGTGGTCCGAAGGTATATAAAAAAGAACTTACCGGTGAGGGTCAAAATGCCATAAAAATGGAAGACGTATCACCCAAACCAAAATGACAAAACTTAAGTTACACAAAAAAAAAGGGTGCTAGTCCTTGAATTGGCGCTTGGGGCCTAATATCCCAGAGTCCGGAAAATGACGAAACGACCCCTGCACGACGACCTCAACGGAAACAGAAAAGCGAATCACGCAGAACACGTAACGTTCTAGAAGAAGTATCTTGAGTGGCCTTGAAGAAGATATGTTAAGGTGGGTCCAGACATGCAACAAAACACCGTTTCGTAACAGCACTGCGTAACAAGTGTAGACGTTGGAGCGTATCAACGTAACCCCGCAACATAGTAACATCGAGGCGTCCCACGAGATGTCGGTATTTTGGTGTCGCATCAAAGGAACGATACGCGCTGATGTTGCACCACTGGATTGCAGGTTTGGACTGGTCTGCGTAACAAAGGTGCGATCTACTTTGTTTCTGTGTTTTGAGTAATACTGACAGGTTTATTATGGAGTGGACTGAAGAAGTAACGATTAAATTCATTAACAGTTATAGAAGCAAAGAAATTTTGTGGGATCCACAAAATTCCCAGTATTATAATAAAATAAAGAAAAACGATTCTTGGAATGAGCTCGCTGTAGAATTTAAAACCACGATAGATGAATGCAAAAAGAAAATGAATGTGTTATTGTCGGCACTTAGGCGAGAAAAAGCAAAAATTAAAAAAAGCAAAGGCACAGGAACAGGTAAATGTGAATAATTACATTATATTTTTTATTTATGTATTTTATTTACTTATTAACATATCGAACATATTATATTCATTGCAGGTCGTTCTGATGTGTATGAAAGTAGTTGGTTTGCTTTCAAAAGCTTGCTGTTTCTTTGGGACAAAAATAAAGTTCGACAGACAAAAAGTACCGTAAGTATTGTGTTACGCATAATTATCTTGATACACAAGTGGATCTTCATTTTGAAAGTATAGTGCCAATTCGTCTCTGATTATTTTCGCGTTATCAGTTGGTTTTCGGGGAATATTTTTAAGTGGCAATAGAGAAGACATTATTTCATTTGTTGCTCTTGGTAAAGGTGATTTGGTATCGAACATGTCATGTGGCATATATACAAAGTAGAAGATGTAGAGCTTTTTCTCAAGAAGTTATGTAGATGAGCTATTGCCATTACAATTATTTCAGCTTTTGCGGGTTCAAGTAACATGGGTTTACGGAGTACTCGAAAAACGGCCGAAGCAATACCAAACACATTTTCTACAGTTCTTCGAGCACGAGGTAATCTGTAGTTGAATATTCTTTGTATGGATCCTTTGAGATGCGTTCCCGAAAACGGTTTCATTAGCGAATCAGTGATTGCAAATGCCTCGTCTCCGATGAAAAAATAAAGAATTTTCCGTTGCATGCCTTTTAAAGTTTCTGGTTCAGGAAAATTCAACTGATTTTCCACTAGTTTTTTGTAAAGTGAACAATCTTTAAAGATGCCACCATCTGAAATTCGCCCTTGGCCACCAGCATTGACGTACAAAAAATTATAATTAGCATCCACTAAGGCGAAAAGAACAACGCTGAACGTAGATTTGTAGTTGAAAAATTCGCTTGCAGTGTTGCATGGTGCTTGAATAACCACATGCTTTCCATCTAAAGCTCCAAGGCAATGCGGAGGTTTTTTCAAATTGCTTTGCCACGTCCAGCCATGATTCTGGTGTTGTCGGTATCTGCAACAATTAGAACAAATTGTGTCATGAGAAATTACGCGATATGCCCACAAATAACTGATATCTTTATTTTCTATCGCAATGTGAATATTCTTGTAAATGACTAGGACTACTATTTAATTACAGATTGAAGAAGAAGAAACAGATGATAATGAGGTATCTGATGGTGAATCAACATTGACAGATAACGACGTTGTGAAGGAGACTCAGGAGGTTATACATAATAGACCGAAAAGAAAATTGACGGATGTAACACCAATTAGAAAACAGCAAAGAAAAAGTGAAGATTCTGATAAATTAGATAGAGCTTTTCAGATACTTTCAAAAGCATCAGCAAACGCCAATAACCCAGAAGGACACAACGAATGTCAGATATTTGGAAATCTTGTGGCTAAAAAATTGGCTAAATATTCGCCTGAATTGCAGACCAATACACAACAAGCGATTATGAATATTTTATTTAAAGCAGACAGCATCCATATTCGCCAAAATTCAAGCAATTTCCAATCCCCACCACAACGTACTGACACTATTCACTCATTTTTTTCGAATTATCAGGCTAACCAAGAATCCTGTTTTAATCAAGAGCCATCACAGTTGTCATCTCCAACATATAGTTATGGTAATTCAAATCCCTCGACCTCGAGTGACAATAATACTCCTCTTCCTCCTTCTTTGCCACACGAGTTATTAAATATGTCCCACATTGAACTACAGAGCTTGTAGTTAGTGAAAATGTTTAATGTGAGCAACAGTTTATTTAATGTAAGCAATATTTTGTTTAAAATATAGAGTTATTGTGTCAAACCTTTATTTTTTTACCTGTATATTGTCATGTAATCCTTCTATTATTGCTTCACACACTTCAGGAACTATAGTGCTTATAGATTGCTTAGATATTTTAAAGAGGTACTGAAGACTTGTGAAGGAATCACCAGTCGCCAAAAATCGAAGCATAACTGCCAATCTGTCTTGTTCAGAAATTGCCTTTCTCCAGCTGGTATCTTTTCGTAATATTTTGGGTCCAATCAAATTAATCAAATATTCAAAGTCTGTTGCGGACATTCTGGTGAAATTTTTGTAGAGGCCGCTCATTTTCAAGTCTATGAGCAAATTACTTCCACTGTACACATTTCTTTTTACGAACAACTGCCTCTGCCAAAAACGTTTTTCTCTTCGCTTTTTTTGATTCTTCTTAACATAATAATGCATGAATATATAGGCAGCAGCGGCGACTTCCATTATAAATGCACTAGGAAAAACGGAACGACAGAATGTTCTGCTTTGAAGATACGCGATGGTATGAAAAAAAGTACACACCGTGACTTAGACGCGTAACACATAGTTGTTGCGGGACGGTGTTATTACACGGCGTTTTGTTGCATGTCTGGACCCACCTTTAGGAAACCAACTAACGGAGAAAAACTATAGTTTTTTGCTAATCGTCAACACGATACTGAATCGCTGAGAAAGAAAGATATAATACGAGTGAAATTATACAATCAATAAACTATTAAATTTGCCAAAAGAAAATCATTGAAAAGGGTTTGGCCAAGGAATGGGCACTCTATTATCAATGAAGAGAAATTAAAATTACGGATAAGTGATAAATAGTAAAAAAAGGTTACGTGATTTTAGCACGTGACAATATACCCAATCAGCCTCAAGATCTCTCCGTCAAATTTTTGGCAGCAAATAGCATTAAAGCATTCAAAACAAAACACTGTAAAATATGAAGTGACAGCTTGCCTTTTATTTTTTTTCGGTTTATTAAATATTATGAAATTATATAGAGCCAAAATTTTAAAAAAATGCTTGATGTCTGAGTAAAATCCATTTTTTTTTTCAGTTTAGCTGAAGGTTTCTCCATGTTTATTGCAAATTTTATACATTTGCAAACTTGCACTTCCAAACACTTACATGAAAAAGCCTTTTCACTCAAATTTTTGTTAGGTGTTGCATTTCAACACATTCATACACTTCTTTCCATTTCCTCAACGACATTTTGACACCACTGGTCCGAAACTGTTTGAGATTTCAACATTCATACATACAATTGCAGTTGCAGTTTTTTGTTTTGATTTCAGTGTATAATCAGTCACGCCATCGGTGGTACTCTCAACATATCCACGTAATTGGGGATTAGTGCAGATTTAACGTGTACACGACAGTGTAATATGTAATTTTGCACAAGAAAGATCTTGGAGGGAGTACTTTTTCATAAATAACACAAGTGACCACACACAGACTACGTAACGTTGGAGAAGGAGAATAGACTAAAATAGAATTGACATTTAAAATTAATGTCTCATAATGTTAGTGATGGGAGAGTACATTTGCAATCAGTGCAATGCATTGGAACGGTTACAAAAAATATATATATTTTTACGTTATCTCGACTGACAGACTAGAATAACTGATCTATTTCTGTACATATATTTATTGTGGTATTGTAGTTTGTTCACGAACAAGTTCCTAGAAATGTATGCGACTTAATGAAATGAACTAGAAGGCACATAACTATTTCAAGTAACCCAAGGAGGGATATGTTGACATTTCATCACACTAGTGATGGAAGAATCGAAAGCCTGATATTCGTTTTGCTTCTGTGGCTCAGAGATATAGGGTTTTCTTCTGATAAAACTAGCGCAGTTTTTGTGTTTAAAATACTCTACCTTAGTTAATACCGATGATCCTAAATTTGTTTCCAGAACAACACTAAACGTCTCTTATGTCGTGTCGCGTGCAGTTATGTCAATGACGCATATTTTTCGTTTCTTTGTCCTTTTCCGTGTTACTATGATGAATCATTGAAAAAAATAATAGCAAACCACGACCAAACAGCACGGCTGCATTCAAAGATGGAAATCAAAGCAGAAGACAGTAGACAACACCAGCCCGAGTTGCTTCAACTTCTGTATGTTTCTACAATGAGTGAAAAACTAGTTCAAAATGTGCACCAAAAAAACATGAGTATATAAATTGGTTCTGTTATAAGAATTTGGAATATGCACCAGTCCAACACTGGTTTCACTGAAAGAAAACGCGATTGAATAGCTTGGTAATATTTAACAGTAAAGTCTTTTCAAGTGCCGAGTGCAGCTATAGTCAACGCCAAACAAAGTGGCGTGCACGTCATCACGATAAAAATTCCCCGACCTAATGCCTAGGTTTCTATCACAAACAATTGCTCTATTGCAGTTTCATATTAATGTGATATATAAATTGTAAAATGGTCATTACTCTCTTATTATGGTTAATAGTCATATAAACATTGTTATTAAAATATCACATAAGTTGCTTTCTGATAAATTTAGACGCATTATGCGAAATAAAATGTTTTGCAAACGCTCCAATCACTTATCGACATGTAAACGCACTAAACCGATTTCGCAGCGTTGACACATTGTCACCTTGAAACTTATTTAAACTGGGAACTGACATTTGTATTAATTTTGACACTGAATCAATTTGTGGCATTTCAAATCTTTATAAATCCTTTGGCCCCGCATACTGTAAATCAACAACTGTTTGTTTCAAAACAAAATTATTCATTTTACGAGTAGATAAAGGCAATTTTGGTATATAAAGATGCCCAAACAGTTAAATAGTCGGTGTAAGGAACTCGTGGCCTCGTTAATGCACTACTTTGAGCAAGAAAGGGACAACAACGGGCATTTGTTGCCTTTAAATGCTGTTCAAGAGGTAGGTTACTAATAATTATATGTAATGTATATTAATAATAGTGAAATTTTATTTCATTTTTTGTAGCGTGTTGCTGCTGCTTTAAAAATTAGTTTAAGGACAGTTAGTCGTATTTCCGAGGGTGTGAAAAGTGATGCAAATTTAGAATCGCCCAAGAAAAAGCGGAGTTATATTAAACGTGTAACCAACTCAGCGACATTGGATACAAGTGCCATTCGAGAAGTGATCTATAATATGTATCACAAAAGTAAGATCTTATTATAATAACTTATCAGAAATTTGCATTAATTTGTTAACTAAATTATAATGTCATATTACACATGGTTTCAGAAGAACAAGTTACGATACAAACTTTATGGTCTCGATTAAGAGATAGGGCATTATTTGATGGTAGTGCCACGTCTTTAAGGCGGTTGCTTAGAGATCTTGGATTTAAGTGGCTTAAGGACAATCCGCGACGAGGGCTCATGGAACTACCAAGTATAGCTTTGAAAAGGGTGGAATTTCTAAGGCAACACAATCAAGCCAAGGTTGAGGCCTTATACCAGTTTGTCTTCCTCGATGAAACTTGGATATTTCAAAATGGGACCATAGGTCGCTCTTGGCAAAATGGAAACCAAAAAAGCGTGAAAGCTATTAAAACAGATGGTAAAAGGTATGTACTTTTACACAATTTGCACTATAAAATTTAAAACTAATATATTTTAGATACATTATATTACATGCTGGAAATGAAAATGGGTTTATTGAGGGTAGTGAAGCGATATTTTCTTCGAAAACAAAATTGAGCGATTACCATGGAGAGATGAACCAGGACAATTTTTTGAAATGGTTTTAACATCAGTTATTAGAAAAATTGGAGAGTCCATCTATGATTATACTGGATAACGCCCCTCATCACAGCATGATATTGAACAAAGTGCCCAACAATGCATGGACAAAAAAAAATATCCAAGACTGGTTGACAAATCAAAACATACCATTTTTAAACACAATGTTTAAAACAGAGCTATTGAGTATTGTTGCTCGGTACATAATGCTTCTTAATTATATATATTTTGGTGGACAGTTTATATTTCTTTTGTTTATTCCTATTCTTAAAATAACTGCTTTTTTAGAAACAAACCACCTAAAATATACGTGATTGATGAATTGGAGGAACAACATGGGCACAAAGTTCTTCGTCTGCCTCCTTACCATTGTATATTTAACCCTATTGAGTTAATTTGGGGCATAGCAAAAGGTTACTATAAGAGACATATTGGTAGAGATGGTAACAGTGAAAAAGACTATTTGGATATGTGGAACGAGGCTCTACAAACGGTTACCCCAGACATGTGGAAAAATAGTGTTCGACATACTGAGCAAGAAATTTTTAAATGGTATGAAAGAGAACGAATTTTTGATCGACCAGACATCGAACCTTTAATAATCAACTTTGAGAGTGATGAAGATTCAGATTCAGACAGCGCTGAAGAAAGAAACTCCGACTAACTTTATTGTACAGAAAAAGCTTACACCAGTAGCTTAAATAATTTTAGAATGCATTTTTCTGTATGAATTCTGTAAAATAAATACCATGCATAAAATTTGGAGGACCCCATTTGGATTTTTATTCAGTACCTTTAAGCTATCAATTAAATATGGTAGTTTCATAGTGTCATCTGATCAATAATTGTCATACTTAATGATTATGCAAGTACAGATCTATAATTTTATTATACTATTATTTTTGTTCTCATTTGAGGTTAATATTGCTTATAAACCTAGATATGTAAATAATAAATTTTATTATTTTACAAAAAGTTTGGCAACAATGTAAATTTTTCAACACACCCACCTTGATGACGTGCACGCCACTTTGTTTGGCGTTGACTATAGTGATTATGTTGTACTATCTCCCCAGACATCATATAATGCAAGTAGAGAGCTTCCTCTGTATATATTTATATATATATATATACAGGGTGACTGAAGTTGAGTCATTAATTTTCAGATAATGATTGTAGAAGGAAGATAAACCAAAATATGTGTCTAAAAATAAAAAAAAAATGTTACCTTGTTTTATAAAGTATCCTCCCAAAAAGTATTTCAGTGCGGACCTGTATTTGATCGTGCGGTCTTGGAGTACCGGCATGCCCTCCCCTGTGAGATCTTAAGTCACCTGATTCACGAGCCCTTTGTACTACATTAACAAAGGCACGAGGGGTTGGTTGCACTCGATTGGGAAACCGATCCGCATAAATCCGTGATGCCGCGTAAATAAGAATCATGTCCACAAGTTCAGCATTTTCGTAAACATGTGCCATTTTTGATTTCGTTTGAGCCACGCAACAGACACCACTATTCACTCACGCGTTACCAACTGACACTGACTGTATACAACTGGATAAAATAATTGTAAAAACATCGTTAGAAATTCTTTCGCTTTTTTGTTTCCGATGCGATGAACCGATAAGGCGGATTATATCCGTTGTTGCCAAACACGAGCACATAATATTATTATTGAGACAGGGCGGTACTCAAACTTCCAAAGGGCTATAACTTTGGTACTTTAATTTTACCAGAAAAATGGTAAAGGAAAAAAACATTTCTTTTGATCAGATCTACTCACTGTTAGAATAAATGACTCAACTTCGAAGTCACCCTGTATATACATAAAGAAATTTAGTTATTACGATTTTTGAACTGAGCAAGGTTAGTAGTACTGGAAAAAGCTTCCTCCTGCAGATTGCTCCACAATCTCGACACCCTCGGGACAAAGGAGCGGTCGTATCGGCCAACTCTGTGTGTACGAAATTCGACACGGTTAGCATGAGAGGCCAAAGCCAGGCGGGTCTGTATGGTAGGCACATCGCGCGGCGGCATCATGAAAGAGAGCTCTGAGGAGCGAAGCCCTTTGGTGTAGCGGTAGACGAGAGCTAGATCACTGATGGCCCGCCGGTGTGAAAGAGTCCAGAGACTGTCTGTTAGAGAAGAGTCATCGATCAGTCGAACAGCCCACCTCTGAACAGCATCGAGCATAGATAATGTAGTCGGGGCGGCACCACCCCAATACTCGAGGCTAGGTCTTATCTGGGCCTTCGGAGAAAAGTACTTCTTTGCCTGAAACAAACAGCCTAGCCCAGCAGCTGCCGCTATTGACGCGATGTGTTCGTGCCAGATCCTCGATGATCTGGACTTCGTTCAGCCGAAAGGAACGGCTCTTAGTCAGAACCCGGCCATCCATCGAAACCGGGTGAGCGCTAGGACGCTTTTTATTCGTCAGTAAAGCACTGTGTTTTAGAAGCATTAAACTGTACCAGATTGTTGCATCCCCAAGCAGTGATAACCTCCAGGTCTCTCGTCAGAGAGGAAGTCGTCGCTAATCTTCTTTTTTCCAGCTCAGCTGCAGAGATCGGCTTGTCATCCTGAACTCCTGCTTAGAGAGTGCTGTCATCAGCCAAAGCTGTGGATTGGGTTGATCGTGCAGGAAAGTAGGTCGTTGATATGCAAGAAGAACCGTGTCGGAGCTAAGGCCAATCCCTTGGGAACACCCGCGCTGGCCTTGCGGGCTGAAGAGGCAATCCCGTCAATTACGACGGATACCTTGCGGCCAGAGAAAAAGTCAGTCACCCATCTGCAAAGCTTTTCTGGGAGGTCATGAACTATTTTGATCATTAAAATAATGCTAAATTGCATTATTGCGATGAACAGTGACAGAGTAATTTACAGTGTATGTTATATTCATATAATGTTGAGCAATATTTTGGGTAAACAAGAAAAAAACGGGTTATAAAGCAGTATTCTATACCACAGTATTACCACCAAAAATGCAACTTTGAAGTTATATAAAATAGCAAGCCGGTGGATTCCAGAAAACATGATATTTTCGTAAAAGTCTTTCATTTTAAAATAAGAAATGAAGTATTTGCGATACGCGCTAAAGTAGTTCAGCCCCGTACGATACTCTATAATAGGTTTGAGCCACAGTCCAGGATATACAGTTACATTATTGATAAATCAAAATAAGATAAATAATAAGGAGTCACCATGGTATCAGGCTCATTTCCATTCATTTAAAGTTTCGTTTGTTCAAGGCACTACAACTAACATTTAGTTATCTTTCATCACCTTGCCATGACAATGTTATTTACAAATATTACACTATTGTTTTATAAGGCAGCGACTCCTGGCACGTCAGGTTGTCTAAGCATTATTCCATCCCGTTTTCAATCTGTCAACAATGCAAAAAAAGGTTATACACTTGGCACGATAGAAATAATAATAAATAACAAATATTGATGGACTTGCAAATTTTTATCATGGATCTTTTCGAAATACATGGCTATTCAAAGAGGATCAAAACTGTAAAGCCTACCTGATTCAAAGCATCATCCGGCCTCTGTTAAAGTAATTATACGATTTTGGAATCGGGCTAGACAATAATGAACCTTTCACTGTAAGATGTTAATCTTATCTCTGCTTATCTTCCTTATAGCAAGTCTTTCTTTCGACAAAGTTACCTCTTCAGCATTCCAGTCTGTCTAGACATCATTTGCAGAAGTTTTATGTGTTTCAGTCTCTTTTTTCCAGCGTGTTAACATACTTATGGTGAATAATATAGGATAATCAAAGTTGAATGTCCTTCAACAGATCTGGACAAAGGAAGCTAAATATACATATTGACATCATTTTTTTATGTCTATCAAATAAGGACTTGGATCGAATCTTGAGGCAGTTGAGCCTTAGGAAGTGAATTCAGTATTGTGAAACTGTGCTTTGCACATTATTTCAAGGTCTACCATATGTTCCAGTATTCTGAGCAATCCATAACTCCCAGCATGCCCAAAACATGTTGTTGTGGATCGATTTCAAAAATCGATCTGCGTGACGCCGCCTCTGAATGTAGCTGATGGTTGAAATATCAGTATGTACAAATAAAGAGAATTAGTATAAAACAAGAAATCTCTTAAGTGACTTCGGGCAAAGCGGTTAGGCCGAAGTGGGTTACTCTATTCACACGAATTCTTGTTTTATTTTGTTTCTGTTGCAAAATTACTATTTTTGTGCAGATAGTATACGAATATGAAAAGAAACAAATCAAAGTTCCTTGTCTGAAAACCTAATTTGTTAAAAACTGTGAATTTACAAAAGCAACTACTATAATTTATAGATATCAGCGGCCTCACGAAGAATCTTCAGAATTTGGGAACGTTCATGGTTGATCAGTTCATAGGTATGAGATGTCAATTTAAAAATAGGTTTTCAATAATCCGTGATATGTATTCAATCTACACTGGGGTTTGAGCAAAGTGAATATTTTGCTTCTTTGTTTTTTGTTATCTACGTAACTGGTGGCTACAACTAAGAATCATTGATTATCTTGAAGATGGATTAATTAAGAATCATTTCAAATACTTCTCTCAATTCTGTTCTAATCAAGAATAGCAGAAAATTCGAGGTATTTTTGCTTTGCCTAGGGTCTCCCTTACTTAAGTATCTTTATGTCGACATTAATTCCAATCCTCAATCCATCATAATATTACTTAGGTAACTCTGATTCGGTAGCAAAGAACACATTACGATTATATACTACAGGCTCAAGGGGTTGGATTATAATATCGTAAGTGAACAATCTAATATTTACCTGGACTATCAGATTGGAGATAAGTGTGTGGGATTCGTCCGTGTGTAAAGCAAACACGTGCGTGCACAATGGGATAGGTGCTTAAGGAGAATGGCTTCAGAGGGTCCAGGCAGGGTGCGTGATGTCGTTTATATTTAGAGGCTATCACAGAGTGATATCACGTTGGTAAAGAAAGCAGCTTTTGGTTCATTACGACTTTCTGATTTCTCTGCCCCAATGCGCAGATCATTTGCGGCATTTCACCATTCAACACCTTGAGTAATGGAAGTTACAAATTAAATTAGAAAGGGCGTGTATGCTTCTACAAATCTTCCTACTTGGTGATATCTAAATACGTAAACAAATACTCAGCAGCGCAGTTCTTGAGAAATGTTCATGAAATGAGTTCATAAGGTAACACTACTGGGTCATATCACTACCTTCTTCAATAGTTAGCCAATAATCCAGCTCTGAGCAGCATCTGGGAAAGACATACAAGTAGCCTAATTGGACCGAAAATCTGATGACTCTTCGTCCAACAAAAAGTACAAAATACCGAATTAGAGATCTTTCCATTTATTTATCCTATACACCGAAGCAACCACGCAGGCAGAAGCCTAAATGCCAGGGCACCGCAGCTGCTCTGAGGATCCCAAAGATACTTTGTTAATTCGACTTCTGAAAAGCCCAAGGTTAGTAGAACTGGGAAAAGACTCTTCTTGTAGATTGTTCCACAATCTAGAGACCCTAGGGACAAAGGAGTGGTCGTATGGGCCCGTTTTGAATGTACGAAGTTCGGAGAGCTTTGAGAAGTAAAGCCCATTGGTGTACCCGTGGAAGAGCGCTAGATCGCCGAAGGCTCCTGTTAGAGAAGAGTCATCGATGAGTCGGACAGCCCTCCTCTGAACTGCATCGAGCATGGATGATGTAGTCGGGGCGGCCGCATACCAAATATGTGAGTAAAGCTAAGCCTTATCTGAGCCTTGTATAGAGTGAGGAGAAAAGTACTTCTTAGGCCCAAACAAATAGCCTAGTTTTTTCCCACCACTGCCGCTATTAACGAGATGTGTTCGTGCCAGGTCAAGTCTTCGTTGATCTGGATTCGGACCAGCTGAAATAAACGGACAAACCTAGGACGCTCTTTGTTCCTCAAGGTCAGTACTGTGCTTTGGAAGCATTAAACTGTTGTTTGTCGCATCCCCAAGCAGTGATAACCTCCAGGACTCTCGTCAGACAAGAAGTCGCTGCTAGTCTTCTTTTTTCCAGCTCACTGGTGGAGGCCTAAAATCAGTCGCACGTGATGTTCTGTATTTCTGGCGTGGTTGTATGTTCCTTGGTTAATAGAACCAGTTATTTTTCGCACATTGATCTTTAATTCCACGTTATGGTCTACAAACGCTATTATATGTCTCTATCCAACAACCTTTTTCTTTAAACAACTTATCAGCAATATTCTACTCATGTTGCTGCATTTATACTGTTAGTGACTTTTGATTGAGCGAAATGAGGCTGTAGGAAACAATCAACAATGTAGCGTTAAGGCGGAAGTGGGAGCATTTTGTTTAGCTCCATATTTTTGGCCATTCAGTATGAAGATTTCTTTTGTTTTATTTTATGACTGCTTCCAAATGATCACTGTATTTCTCATTCATATTTGTTGTCCATCATTGTCGGCTATTTTTGGGACTCAGTCAACATTTTGAGGTAGGTTGTACGTTTAAATTTAAAAGCTCTGAGAGATTCTTGAAAGCCGATATATTTAGTCTGGAACTACGTAAATGTACGCGAAGTGTTTTCTTAAAGAACATTCAGCCACTAAGTTGTGTTCCGAAGATTCATTTATCAGCGTGAGTTGTGGATGTTCAGCTTCTCGAGGTTGCTGAACGGCCAAAGTGCTTACAAAAAAAAACTGTCAGAGTGTAAGGAATATCTTTTTGCAAGGTCAGCCTTTTTCTTACGAATATTGGTTTGCTTATTTAGTCTGTAACGTAATTTGTTACAGAAATCTTCGTATTTGGTAGAACTGTGTTTTTGAAATAAAATGCCGTAAACTGACACCAACTGATTCTTTTCACAGATTCATATAAATTTTTTTTATAGAAAGTGCATTTTTTCTATGAGTAGGTTCATTCACACAAGGATGGGTCTTTGGATATAATCGACAGAGGAGAAGTTAATGTCATTTGTCTTTTCTCAAGTAAGGAGTTGGTCCAAAGTGTTGCTTCAGGTAGGTTTATTTTTCTGACTAATATTCACAGCCATCAATTCACTTACTAGATTCTTCCAACGTATCTCTTCAAGAGCATGTCCAAGATTAACATGACGTGGCAAGCTAGTGTCTTAACACACAGTGCCCAATGTTTTGGGCACCGTGTGTCACGTTACAGGCGGACCATTATCATGTTGTTTTACACAAAATGTGTTTCCACACTCACAATACCTTGAATTACCTGAGTAGAGGTCACATTCTTTTCTTGCTGATATTTTATCACGGTTGACTGCTTAATAGGACCCATTTCCATCAAATTTCTTGTCACGCATGAGCCGAGCAGCAAATCTCGAAACGGTTTGACAAATTAACTTTATGTTTTGTTGAGGAAACTTACCTGGAAGACCTGTTTTACTATCAACAACAATAACCAAATAAGCAAAGATGTCAGGTACAGAGCAAAGGAATCAACCTTTGTACTTAGCCGTGCTACCCGTAAATCTGTTTGCCAACTCTGACCCGGAACAGATACTCCAAATACTTCTTTCTCCATATATTTTTGAGGTGTAAGTATTTTCGGCTTACAACGATGATGCCTTAGTTGGTAATTTAAGTTAAAGCTGTGTTTCTTTTTAGTCGCTCAATGTAAGGAAGACCTAACGAGGCCAGAGAAGAAAAAAAAATGTGCAATCAATAAACTCGGTCGACTTTAGGAACGAACGGATGAACGAGAAAGTCCGGGAGCAGGTCGGTCGCTTCGGATGGCGAAACTTTGCGCTGGACGCTCCGGTGTGCCCTTCCAGTTGATGGATGGACTTGGATGTGTACACACATTAACCGTTGACCTGCCTACCAAAAACGCTGCTGTCGCGTAACGCAATACCTGAGCTTAATATATCGCTTTTTGACGTTGACGTTGTGAGTGCTATTAGTTGCCCGCCTCTAGCTATGAGGAAAATTTTTGTTTTATCAAGACTTAAACATTTCAATTTTCACCATTTGATTTTTTTGTTGAATAGCTGGATGCAACCCAGCCTCTGCCATTTGTGGACCCGATTAGTTTGCGAACATCCATAATTAAGCATCTCATCCTACCCGATGTTATTTTAATGAAAACTCAAATTTCTGTTGGTTGGCTACTTGGGATTTCAAATGGTATTATTGTAATTATTTTTTGTATTGTATTGTATTGACGTCAAAGGATAATTTATATTCAATTTATTAATATACTCAGTGACACTAAAATTGTTACACCTAGAAAAAATAAATTCTTTAACTTGATTTTTGGCATTGGGGTAGAATGAAACATGTTCACGAAATTTTATTGATAAGTAATAAGAAAAAAAATTAATAAACACTGAACACTGAATATGACATTATGCCATTCTGCCTCCCAATGTTGCCGTTCTCTGCTCCAGTTCAAACGTTGAGGATAGTGGTCCGCAATTAGAGGTAGAACTAACTGTGGACGGTATAAAAATGTCTAACAGCTCTAATGCGGCGATAGAGTGTACATATATACGTAGTAACAGGTCTACCTTGTTCTCCAAACCACTGGTCAGCATCTCTCGCGTAGTAGCAAAACGGTCTCGTAGGGCTAGCTGTGCGAAGCGCCTATCTTGACGCTCTGTGGTATGCCTCGGTGGACCAGTTGGCCCTCTTCGTGTTCCTCTACCTTCTTCTATCCACAAATGACACACATGCATGACCGTCATTGCAGTACAATTAACACGGCGGCAATTTTGTGATAGGACAAACCAACATCTCGGTAGGCAATAATTCCACCCCTGTCAATGTCGCTAGCATGGTGATAGCTGGACGTCTTCGAACTCGAGGCATTTTGTTTTGCTTAACACTAGTAAGTGAAACGGCAATAATTAAAAATATATGTAAACGTCACCCCTCAGAAACTGCTTTCTTCACAATAATTGAGAGATGACATTTTAACAAAGGTAAACAAAAATAGAGCCTAGTCGCCAAATCCATTTTATGAATTCTGAATGTCTGAAGTGGCCCCAACCCAGTTCAGTGTGATGTGGCGAAGTATTATGTTGTTGCAGAAAAACACTCAGAATGTCATCGCTAACAACATCATTTTTTTCTTAAAATTGGGAAAATTTTAGAGAAAAACCGTTCTCACGTCTGACTTTGGTACCCTGTAGTATGAGAGAATCAAGTATGATCGTCCTGCCAAAGGGTCGAAAGTGTCGTTCTTTACGGAAATCAGCTCAGCTTAGCATTTGAGGCACTCTCAGCGGAAATATTAAGCATTTATGTCCTGCGGCCTTGGTGTGCATGCGATATGGATGAGGCACCAGATCCTTCTCCACTGATACCGCTTAGACTGGATGAGTATGGCGTGTTGACTACAATCAGATTGGAATAAAAGCTGTTTCTCATCTGTTGCATTATTAGGTGAGGAACCTAAAAGGCCTAACAGTCGGTTGCGTAAAAAATGCAGACCTATCGCTT